GCTTCAACTTTAGTTTTAAAAAATGAGGTAATTGACCTGGCTGTGCTGTCTGGTTGGGGTACATGGATCACAATACGGATGAACGCAATTACAAGTCCTTTTGCAGGCAAAGGAGTCCACGTGTATGTATTCATACTGTGTTTACAGCTATTTTATTATGTCATTTTTTTCTGCCCTTCAGAGATTCAGTGGCTTTAAGTTATCCAATAAATGCATGATATGACCTGATGTGCATATCGCGGGTTCAGGTCGGCGGCTGTTAAACGTGTTCCTATTTTTAATGCTTGTGTAACTTCCTTGAAATAAATCCAGCGTTCATTGTTTTGCATACTTCCTACAGACCTACACATTTTCACCGTACATTTTTAATTTTTTTCCTCGCTCCAGCTTGTAATTATCTGCCCATGTTAAGAGTTCTCCGTGTAATTTTCCCAACTTTCCATTTTTTACTCAACAACAAGTTAATTACAAATCTGAAAAGTACATTGACATTCTTCAAAATGTCACCTAATAGATTTGTGCCGTTTGTCGCCACAGCTAAATTGCGGCGCGTTTGAGAAATGACAAGCGGCCGAAACAATGCATGACTGTTCAGCATGGGGTAAGGGAATGACATGCCTACTATTAAACTTGAACTCCGGGCAGGTATGAAAGACGCAGGTATGAAAGACGTGTGTTGGGGAGGGGGTCAGAACACACTAACGCAGCTCCGCAATCATTAATATGCCACTTAATTAATTATTTTTTTTAATGCAAACAGTGTAAGTGCCAGAATTTGACTCTGTATCAGCCTCTCGCAGTCCCTAGAAGCCAAAAATATACCAGCACTTAACTCCTGTTGCTGTGAACACAACACATGGATATCCATCCACTGTCCACAAGCAGCAGACTGCATTGATCTCTGACCAGCGGCGTAACAATAGCCATAGAAGCCCATTCCGCTGCTATGGGGCCTAGGGATGGAAGGGGGCCCCATTAAGGATTGCCAAAGTTGCTGTTGACACTGACCCTCTCGTAGTCCCCTGTACAGCTCCAGAAGTGGTGGGAACACAACACATGGATATCCATCCACTGTCCACAAGCAGCAGACTGGATTTATCTCTGACCAGCGGCGTAACAATAGCCATAGAAGCCCATTCCGCTGCTATGGGGCCTAGGGATGGAAGGGGGCCCCATTAAGGATTGCCAAAGTTGCTGTTGACACTGACCCTCTCGTAGTCCCCTGTACAGCTCCAGAAGTGGTGGGAACACAACACATGGATATCCATCCACTGTCCACAAGCAGCAGACTGGATTGATCTCTGACCAGCGGCGTAACAATAGCCACAGAAGCCCATTCCGCTGCTATGGGGCCTAGGGATGGAAGGGGGCCCCATTAAGGATTGCCAAAGTTGCTGTTGACACTGACCCTCTCGTAGTCCCCTGTACAGTGCCAGAAGTGGTGGGAACACAACACATGGATAGCCATCCACTGTCCACAAGCAGCAGACTGGATTGATCTCTGACCAGCGGCGTAACAATAGCCATAGAAGCCCATTCTGCTACTATGGGGCCTGGGATGGAAGGGGGCCCCATTGAGGATTGCCAAAGTTGCTGTTGACACTGACCCTCTCGTAGTCCCCTGTACAGTGCCAGAAGTGGTGGGAACACAACACATGGATAGCCATCCACTGTCCACAAGCAGCAGACTGGATTGATGTCTGACCAGTGGTGTAACAATAGCCATAGCAGCCCATTCAGCTGCTATGGGGCCTGGCGATGGAAGGGGCCCCATTGAGGATTTCCAAAGTTACTGCTGACACTGACCCTCTTGCAGTCCCCTGTACAGCGCCAGAAGTTTTGGGAACACAACACATGTTAGTGCTGACATTAACATGGGGGGAGGGAAACATTTTTTTGCCTTTAATGTCACTTTAAGGCCTCATTCACACTGGAATCGGCCCGCACGTTCAGCTCCGTGCTGCGTGCACGGCTGTACCGAGCAGCTCCCGGGAAGGACAGGTGCTGCGTGTGATCAGTACGCAGGCGCCGTCCTTCTCTATGTGAGTACGCGGCTGTACGCCCGCCCTGAAAGGCTAAAAGGCTGCTCAGTGGTTGAGGAAATGCTGGGAGGGGGCAGCAGGGGGAGCTCAGTGGCTGAGACATTGTTGGGAGCAGGGAAGAGGGGTTGCAGTTGAGAAATGTGGTAAATATTTCTGTAACATTATAGTCCCTGGGGTCTTGTGAGATGTCCCTCGTGCAGCCTAATAGAGAGCGGGATGAGTGAAATTGTGACAGTACATTGAGGAAGTCCATTCTACGGGGATCTTCAACAAGGAAGTCCATCATATGGGCATCTTCAATAAGGAAGTACATCCTATGGCCATCTCCAATACGGAAGTACATCCTATGGGCATCTTCAATAAGGAAGTCCATCCTATGGGCATCTTCAACAAGGAAGTCCATGAGACAGGGCCGGAGACAGAGATAGATTTAGGCGGAGATGAAAGAGTACGTGAGGAGACGGAGACGGAACGGCATGAGACAGGGGGAGATGGAAGAGGCCTGTGAAGACCGAGGAGGCAAAGGCAGAGACCGCGATGGAGGAGGCGCTTAACCAGAATACACCACTGCTTTCAGGGACCACCAATTGAAATCCGACTGACCCGGATCGCCTTGGTATGCGATCCTGGCCAGTCACAATTAGGCAGCGGCGGCCAATAAACAGGTAGGTTAGACGACTGCTTCCTCCGCGCTAGGACCCCGGGAGGCCCCCGCAAGCGGCCGTCTAACCTGCCTGTTTAGAGGTCACCACCGCTGCCTGATTGTGACCGGCCAAACTACAGAGGCGATCCGGGACGTTCGGGTCCCCCGTGAGAGCCGTACAAGGCCGTAAGGCAGTGATGTTGAACGTTTCTTAAACCCGAGCGCCCAAACTGCAATACTAAAGTTATTTTCAGCGCTGGCACTTTGAGATAAATAAATTGATTTTTCGTCGCAGTTTGGGCACTCGGGTTCAAAAAGGTTCGCCATCACTGGTCTAGATGGATATGGTTATTAGGAGTGGGAGAGAACTTATAGAAATTCAGTATATAAATACAGATTTATTTGTATTTTTGCCCATAGATGCCCTTTAAATGGAGGTCCAGGAGCTGAATGCACTATTGGCAGGGCCGGCTGGATCAGAAGACTGGCTGAACAGATGCAGAAATTCATCGGCAGGTAAATCCTATTTCAACTACAGTTCAGAAAATGAAATAACAATATCCGCCGCGTCACTGGCGACCTCAGCCCGCCATCTGCCAACAATATCGACTGAAGAGGATCTCCATCAATCTGCTTATTACATTCTCAGACAGAGAGAGTCCCTGTTCTCCTCTTCTGCCGATTTCCATAAACCATCCATCCCCGGCCGCCCCGTGTCACAGCCGATAATTCCTCTCGCAGACAGGAAACTGCTGACAAATGGGGCTTCGGAGTTCATCAGTTTCCCGCAGACGGGCAGGAGGTGTAATTAAAGGTGTGATATCACTTATCAATGGCCTGCTCTATGTTGTGCGCCAAACCCGCAGCCTTCATCACCGGGACGGGAGACGTCGGCACCGCCGGCCCCTACAGGGCAGGGAATCTGTTTATCTCATTACAGATTGCGTTTCTACCAAATGCATGGACCTGTCAGGGGAGGAGGTTTGAATGATACATTAACCCCCAGGGGGTTAGCTGTGTACCCACCTGTGCTCTAGGAACAGTAGTATCTAAAGGAGAAGCCTTGATTAATTATGCAGCAGAGCATTCCTTTATAACTGAACTCCGGGCACACAAAACAATCATTTTGTTGTATTCCTCAATACCCACAGGGGATATAAATCCACTTTGTGTGCACCAAATGCCTTTGCAAAGCTAGATATTACCTTGGAAAAGAAGGGGTGACATCACCACTGGGCATAGCCTGTGCAAAGAACAGAGGTGTGGGAGGAGCCAAGTCAGCCCCGCCTTCTACAGGTTGCTAAATACAGGAGGGGGCGGAGACAAGAACAGTCACCTTGCACATGGAGAGAGAGCAGAGTGACAGAGAGATGAGTTCACTGTCCAGTCATAAGATGGGGGGAAGGGGTGGAAAAGACCCATAAGACCTCCTGCCTTCTCAAACATGGCTGTGCTGTGTGGCAGAGCTGTCTAAAACTCAGGACTGGATGGATTGAAATGCTTTGTCTAGTTAAGCAGCCCATATCTATGTATTTGAGCTGGAGTTCCGCTTTAAAAATGGTTTAGTGCCTCAGTGATAGTTTCCATTAAATAAAATGTTATTATTGTTATTATTATTATTTACTTTAAATATAAAGTTGTTATTATTATTGTTGTTATGATGATGATTATTATTATTATTAATATTGTTATTTTCTTTAAATATAATGTTATTATTATTACTATTTTTATTATTCTTT